CATTATTTTGAAGGAAAGGCTCAATAAAAGCAAACTGGACCATTACCTGATTCATTAGCTCCCATCTACTCCACCAACGAGTTTTAGAATATGATGCCGTAGCTCGTCCTGTTGCCAGTGAGCAATGAAAAGGCTCGAAGTAGGAGTTTTGAATCTTTCTCCAACAAGGTTAAGCATGTGACTAAGGCAACCAACATCAAGCAGGTTAGGATACATAATTTTGACAATGTTTAATGCAGCACCATTCACACTAGCTCTGTCTCGCATCACTGCTAACAACTGGTGAGATTCCAAACTTAGTTTGATAGACAAAACAGTGATAAGTTCTCTGGCAAGTTCCTCACCATTCATGCTTTTTGTAAGGAACTTCAGACGAACAAGCCGTTCTTGAATGGTCCAGTTATAAACAAACCGTACAACTACTGCAAGAACTTCACCAAGTCGTGAAGTACCATCGAATGTAATTCACAAGTCTCTCCCTTTCAACTCTGTTTTCAAATTGTCCTGTTCTTGTTGGTGAATAAAAGGAACTAAGTCTCTCATGTGTCTGGCGTCTGTTAGTCGGTAACCATTCTCTTGCAAAAGATCTCTCAGTTCTTGACACTCCAACTTTTCCAACGGAATTCCAGCTTTCATAAAAGCCATTAACACTTTAACTCTATATACCTTGCTTTCTTCGTCCAAAGTTTCACCCTTACGATGAGTTTGTCCATCGTGTTTCGCAAGGGCATCAGCTATATCCCGTTCGCTTGATTGGTTTTGTAGAAGCTTTTGTTTGCTACATTCGTGCTTTGTACTTTTCACATGACTTACTAGTACGCTCTTTTTTAAAACAAGCGACTCTCGGCAAGCTTTGCAAAAACGTTTGCCACTAGAAACAGTCAAATGTTCCCCGGGAAATTCGCGGACTCTTTCAGATGGTGACACTTTTTTCGGATCATAGTTGCGTTTGCCGGTACTGGTAGTTTGCGATCGCTTCTTTCCTACCGGTGGAGGGTTGATCTTACGTTTTCTGGCCAAATCCGAAGGCCTTGGAGCTTTTAATTTGTCGAACCAACTCGGCGTCTTAATGTGCGTGTCCCTACAAAGAATGTCTTGTTCAATACTTAGTAATATCAGGTCGTTCAACCGTCTCTGACCCGCGGTGGATCTGTACGAGTTCTTTATGTAACGCAATATTGAAAAAGGTCTTTCGCCAGAGCAATTAGATATAATAAGAGAAAGATAAATACGAAGTGCGACTTCTATATTTGGAAATACTGTTTCTAGTTTGTTTTCTAATATGAGCTTGTACATCCGAACCTCCGGTGATTCTAGTTTCATTGCACCATTGTTTTCGAATTCCATGGTTTGATCATGCTCATGCAACTCATCGTTATCGTTGAATGACATATCTTCATCATCACTTGGAGTTGTAGTAACTGGTGAAGATGGCGCTGAAGAATCCTCAGATGGTGCAGGCGAGGAAGGGATTTCAGAAAGGACTGGTGCTTCTACAGAGTTTTACGAATCCAAGTATCTCTCGGCAAGCTCGGTTTTCAGGAAGGCAGAGAACTGTAATAGCTCGTCTGAAAGACTCGGCTCAAGGTCACCTGGGTAAATTTTACATTACAAAGCTGATTTGCACTCAGTGTCAGTTTGTCGTCAGGTAGCTCCTTCATAGTTCTCAAAAATCCAAACCTTGACGCAACAGTGGCGTATGCTTCCTTACGTTTCTTCAACTAAGCAACCAAATTATCGATAATAAGCAAAAACGTTGCCGTTCGAAACTTATCGGCAGGTGTAAGTTCTACTTCCGGAGCTGATCCTGGTTCATCATAACGACGATTCCGCTGGCGATTTAGTTTCAATTCGTCTTCGTAATGTTCGCATCCACTGAGCAATTTTCTTTCAGCCTCCAACTGCTCAAATTTTGGTCTCATATTTTTCACGTACTCTTCCAGGGATTCATAAATAGCAGCAGCCGAGTTAATGTCTTGATCCGCGGATTGAAGCAATTAGCTGTTATTGTTAAAACTTTTCAAGATACGGTGCCATACCAGAGTAAGTATGCCAGTCTCCACACGATCCATATTAGAAGCGTGATTAAGAGCTTCTTCTCGAGTATCTCCTTTCTGCTCTGGGTCTGCAGCAATCTCTTTCAATCCAGCTTTGATTTCTCCGTAGCCCTTGACAACGGCTTTAACAGCGGCGGAATGCGCCGACCAACGAGTGTCTGACAAACGTTTGACTGTGGGCAAGCCTTTTTTCTTCAGCCGATTATGGACTACTTTCCAGCGGTGTGTTGAAGCGACGAGGAAAGAATATAAACCTTGGACAAAGCCAAAAAATTCGACAGATTCCAGACAGCATCTTACTGCTGATTGGCCGACTAAATTGAGAGAATGTGCGGCGCAAGACACATACTCAGCAAGTGGGCACTTTCGGTGAATAACAGCTTGCATACCGTTATATTTTCCACTCATGTTGCTGGCATTATCATATGATTGGCCCCGACAATCAGCAATGTTCACTTCATGTCTTGTTAAAAAGCCAAGTAAACTTTCCGCCAACACTTTCCCAGTATGGCCCTGCATATCTAGGAAAGCCACAAAGCGTTCCACAGGACCCGATGGCAGAACGTACCGGACAATGCAAGTGAGTTAGTCAACATGAGAGAAGCAAAGTGCAAATAGTCTTGAAAAAAAATTCTTGCAGAGGTTAAATGCATAAAAAAAATCCTGCAGAGACATGAGATTAAAAAAAAATCGTGCCGCAAAAATATTATACCCCCTCCCTGGATTTCTAATGGTCCGCACCTAAGTACTGCCCTCAAATACATCAAAGCTCCGCTGCTAACTAATTTATCCAGTGATGGATCTAGTGGCATTTGGCAAGTACATTAAAGCCCCGTTTACACTACGCTCAATTTTTGGTACGGCACGGATAAAATTGGTACCCGTACCACTTTTTGGTTCTTGGACTATACCTATTTAGGTAGTCCAAGAACCAAAAAGTGGTACGGGTGCCAATTTTTTCTGTGCCGTACCAAACATTGAGCGTAGTGTAAACGGGGCTTAAAGGGCGCCACCTAGGAGTAAAGCCCCCCCCCCCTAGGCTAAAAATATAAATAATAATTAATAATATAGCATCGTATACTTTTAGCCAAAATCACGGGGCCCTGGAAGGCGTGGGGCCCGTGACATATGCCGCATCTGCCACTGTGTAAAACCGGCGCTGGCAATATTACTCACTTTAGTATGCTCTTTCTAGCTGTGGTGATTTATTTGCATCTCCTTGCCTAGTTTTAAAATCACTCTATAATGGGAATTGTCTATTATAAACACACGTGGCCTTCTGTTCTTATTCCCCAAAATCTGAAATAGCCAACCCGAACATCGTTGGTAAGCTACCAGTCTATAAATTTTGTGTATCTTGTCCAAATCTTTGTCATCCAGAGGACAGTTTAATATCTTCAAGATAGCGACTAACGTCTATTTAATAGCCCTTCCGACAGCATATTCGCTTTGAATTCTACATGTGTTAACAGTGTTGTAAAGGCAGTCAAGCACTTCTCCCCTTGTGTTTCAGCCTCCTTCAATAATGCATCTTATTCATCGTATTCTAACACTTTATCATGGCAAAATGTGCAATGCGCCAAGCATTTTAGACCTCAAACGCATGGTGATTTCCTCGTCAGACGATTCACTCTGTTCTTCGGAGTCGCTCTCGTCACCGCTATCGCTTGTTTGTAAGCCCAGTTTAGGTTCAAATTGATAAGGTAATACCTTATGTACTTGATATCGTGGATATTTTCTATCCGAGTAATCAAAAAGCGCCAAATTTCTCACTAGAAGTACGAAGTCGCAATATGCGCCTAATAAAATATATTTGTTGTTTTGATTCTACCCTGCTCTTGACGTCACATGCACATGTCATGTGACTCAAATAATATTTTTTTGAAAATCGATCCAAGATGGCGGACGTACTGATTTACGGTGAAATAACTCGAGAACAAAACATTTTTGATGAAAACTAATAGCAAATTCGTAATCAGGGGGTCCAGTTTTACCAATATCAGGAATAAAAAAACGATTATTGCCATTGTCCTTTAACGTTTGAAAGTTGGATGTTTCGTCTGAAAACGTTGAATTAGCGCCGTGATTTTGACTAGGTGTCGTCAAAATCGCGGTATGGCGGGTTTCAAACAGTTTTTTTCTGAATTTTTTCGCTTTTTTCGTGTTTTTTTTTGCCTAGAACAACATCGGTTGAATCCGTTTTCAAAAAACATCGTTTTTTTTCCCGGTGTATCTATTAACCGCCTTACCGTAGTTGAAAGGTTTGTCAAAAGCAATACTAGCACTATTTTCTTGTCCATAGCCAGTGCGTAATTGAACTGTTCAATAAGGATAATTTTTTGGAATTTTTAGATGGCGTGTGTACAGTTCATTAATGCCCTCGTGAGCAAGCCAGATGATTTAAACTTCAGACTTCATCTGAGAAATGAATTTTTGAGACAAGGATTAACGGAGGTGTTAGAGGTATTGTTTTTCTACCATTTTTTATTTCTTGTGTCGCGTTTATATCGTATCTAAACTTGCTTAGAACTAACTAAAATAGAGCATTTAATTTTCACTGCATTTAACATTCATGACATACAAATAATTTTTGGTTTTAAGTTGGTGTTTCAGTCTATGGTTTAGTGTTTATATGGAGGCGAGCCAACCCGGGTATCCGAGCTAGCTGATTTTATGTCATGTTTAATTGAGACTTTTGAGGCGAGCTGGCTCGCCAAAACAAACTACTGGTCTCAGTACTATCGCTATACATAGTATAACATAAAGACTATATTTTCTCACGAACCTGAAATTCGCAGTTTTGCGACCAACTTTCACGGTGCATGATAACCCACAGAATCGCAATTTGTCGAGAAAATATTATTTAATTATATATTCGCGTGAACGGAGCTATTACTATACAAATTCGTGCTTCCAACAACCCTTCGCCTATATTTCCAAACATTGTTTCAACATGAAGTATTCGTAATTACGTCAACACTGAACGCAGGCTCGCGTTCCTCACGTCATGTTAGTCTAACAAGACTGCAAAAAAATAAATCAAACTTGTACACTTTTAAACACACAACTATCAATTTCTAAAATACATAAAGTAGGTATATTCTTTTGCTTTCTATGGGCTTTATTTTAATGTAAAATTCAACACGAAACTCTTCGTAAAACGTTTTCAAACGTGAATTGAAATTTTAAACTGCTTTTTGCCGATAAACTCTTCTACTGGTACTCGAGCTTTCTCATACTGGGCGCTAATGAAAATAATTTGCAAAAGTTAATTTAACTAAGAAAAGGTTTTTAAAATAAATCAGATGAGATTTATGACGATTTAATGGCGGGCAAGCTCGGTTCCAATACACTGTATAAAAGCAAAATGAAATTTGGTAGGAAATAACAACAAAGGCGGGATCATGGGTACCCGGGCTGACTCGCTCCATATAAACAGCCCCTAAAACAGGTCACTTGGTCGCATTGGGTCGATGGGCTGTCTTGTTACAGTGTACAGAAGTGCCAGAGTAAGCTTCAATGCAATTAGATAACAAGACCTCTTTCAGATGAAAATATTGCAATATCGTTCAGGATCTTCGTCATATTGGGATTGATAAACTGACTGAGCAACTTGACATCTTCGAAGAACATAAGGAAAATGATTTTGTTGAATTGTCTCACAAATTAACGGACATACAAGTCAATTTTGAGTATCCTTTTATGAACTATGCACAGATGAGAAGACTAATTAGTATGACTGCAGCCACTATATCAGTAATGTCATTCAGTATTCAGAATATAATTCGTATTGTTTGTGTGAAGCGAAGCACACAACGAAATATCGGCAATGTGATTGATTGGCAAAAAAACTTTTCGTGGCGAGTTTCTTTTACTAGCTAATCAAAATAATGCAATTACATTGCCAACGGTTGACATTCTCCTTTTTCACTGACGAATATATTCTCTGTGCATATGATTTTCATCCCAATTTGGCAGGTGAAACTACCGGGGTGTGTGGGTGATGTGACACCCCCAGTCTCTATCTCGTCTGGTATATCCACTCAATTTAGTAGGGCAAATTTTGAAAATATTTGAGTGTCTCGGATTGAAAAGTAGTAGTTGTAGGAAACATTTTGATAAATTTACGAAAATATTACTGAAATATTTTACAAATTACGTAAATTATTTCGAAAGTTAATGAAAAATGCCTCCTACGACTCGCCAACAATTTTGGAAAAAATTAATTAGCGGCTGAAATGTTCGTCCGTTGGGAACGACTTTGGCCACACACATTTTGTTGGGCCAAACAAGCTCCCCCCCCCAGCCGTAATACCGACGTTTCGCCTTTGGGTGTATACAGTCCAGTAATGATTGATAGATAGATTTCAATTATCGGGGACACGTAAAATTATCCTATTTACAACAATTTAAAACAATAGATCTAGCTAATTTATCTATTTACATATTCATGTAGATGCATGATCTGATAATTCAAATATTATTGTGCTAAATGCTAGATATGGCACAATTATAGTGGCCCAGCGTTCTCATTTAAATCTTTTAACAAAATTTAAAAGAAATTTAAAAACAAAATTAAAAATACTAAAAAATTAAAAACAAAATATAAAATAAAAAATAATAACTGTGAATAAAAAATTAAAATTAAAATAAACTAAATAGAAAAAAATAATGATATGAATGTGTGAATTTTGTTTTACGAAATTTGCACGAAGAGAAATTTTGATGAGCGACTTTCCTCAATACGCATGGAGTCTTGGAAACTTGAGCCGCCAAATGAAACATTTCGATATAAATGACGTGGATTACAGCAACAACTAGCTGTACAACAAGTTAGAGCTGCATTTCAAGCAGAAAATGACGGAGCCGGACAGCTGCTTGGTTACCGTGCAATGCACAAAAGAATACGTGATAAACATGGCCCTGAAGGGAACGAGAAAATGGAAAGGAAAGGAAAAAATTGGGACCAGTTGGAACTTTTACTTCCCTGGTAGGCTGAACTATAATATAAATGTTGTAAAAGACGTATTAAAAAGAGTGACACGTTATGTATTAAAAGGTTGGCTTGGACAATTCCCTCCTACCCACACACCCCTTTATGGATGAGGTCCTCGGAAAAAAGGCTGGGAAATGGGACTTTAATTACTACTGATGTTGATCCTCCAGTTATTTCACAGCTCAAATTTGATGCTTTGGGTTTTACACATGACAATTGGATCTCACATGGAAGTTATCAAAATGATCAGAATGCTCACGGTCCTCTTCATTATCTTAAACTTGAATAAGTCGAACTAGGTACACCTATTCAAAATAACAAGGGGATTATAATAGTCACTGCCATTAAGAAAAATCTGTAACCCAATATTTTTATTTTAGTAATTGTATTACCTTTAGTTATGTAGGTGTTGATCCTTACACAATAGTCTTCATCACTCATCAAGCTTTATAAGCACCCTTCTCTAATAAGCCCCCTCGCTTTTGGACAAGGAAATTTATTAACACCCCCCCCTCCCAATTATTAACCCCCTCTACTAAAAAACTCACATTCGTTTTATAAGAGTTATTGAA